CCACCTCTACTTCTGGAGGGCCTGAACGCTCAGTGTCAAGACTCCTTTTCTTGCCACCCTCATTCCCTTGGTGATCTCATTCTGTCTCGCAGCTTTAAACACATTTAATTTCTTTGAAATCACAAATTTGTATCTCTAGGTTTCAATGAAAACCAGACATGTATAACAAGACTATTTGGACACTTAAAAAAAATCTTAGTTTGGAAGGCATTTGGCTCAACAGTTAAGATACCACTGCTTAAGATGCTCCTGTCCTGTATCCTAATGTCTGGGTTCAAGTCTTATCTTTGCTTCCAATTCCAGCTTCTTGCTAATGAATGACCTGGGAGAGAGCAGATGATAGCTCAAGTACTTGGGTCCCTGCTACCCATGTGGGAGACCTGGAATGAGATCTGGACTCCTGGTTTCAGTGCTGCACAGCCCAAATTGTTGCAGGCATGTGGGAGTAAACTGGTGGATGAAAGATCTATCTCTCTCTCTCTCTCTCTCTCTCTCTCTCTCTCTCTTTCCCTTTAAAGACAATCTTAACATGTCCAAACTGAGGTCCTGGTCTCCCCTACTACAGGTTCACTTCTCATCTCAGTTAACAGTGTTCATCTTTCTAGGAGCTCAAACCAAAACTCTCAGAATCATACAGAACTCCTCCCTTTCTCTCTTGTTTCCTATCCAGCCCACCAGAAAAATTCTCCAATCTCAACTTCACAATAAAGTCTGAATTTAACTTCTTACTATTTCCATGCTACTCTAGCCCTCATCCAAGCCACCACTGCCTCTCATTGGAGTAACTGAAGTAGCTTGCTGATGGGTCTCCTTGTTTCCGTTCTTGGCCATCTCTGGTCTGGCCTCAGCTCATCCGTGGCAGCATGAGCTACATGAGGTCAGTCATCGTTGAGCATTCCTCCACGGCATCCCATCTTCCTCGGTATAAACACAGAAGTCCTTACCGTGGCCCCGGGATGAACAACCCCTGTGATCCGGCCACCACACCTCCATTTCCTCTCCAACCTCATCCCCTGCCTCTTGCTGCTTTGCTTACTCTCCTCCAGGCCACTGCATCCACCTGGCTTTCCCTGGACTGGTCAGACACTAGCCATTTCCTCTGCCTGAGTGCTCCTCCCACTGCTGTCATGTAGCACATTCCCTGACTTCATCAGAGACACCCTCAGATGTCACCTTCCCTGGTCATCCCCAGCCATCCTATAGAAAATTGTAACCTCTGCCCTCCAAGTGCTTAGCTCCCTTTCCCACCTCATTTTTCTCTGCAGTATTTGCCACTTTTTAACATCTAGTTTAGTTTACTGTCACTAATAAAAGCTCCAAAATTCAGGGATTTTTATGAACTTTATTCACTTTTGTGCCCTAAGTGCTGAGAACAAGGCCTGGCATATAGGAAGCATTAAATAAACAGCATTGAAAAGAAAGAATGAGAAAGAATTAAGGACCAAAGTCGGCTTCTTAGATTCATGATAAATAAACTGTATCTTTAACAATAGGCATGGAAGTATCAAAGTTCTTAGATGTGATTGACATTAGACAAATCTTAAGTCATAAAGAAGAAATCAAAGTGAATGTGGGAACACAAACAAGGACTGAGAGAAACTCTTAGCAGAAAAATAAGTAGAAATGATACCCAGAACATAACAAGACATCCAGATGATCGCAAATTATCAAGGTAGAAGTTAGATAAATAATGCTTATTTGCTTATAATATCCTCCACATGTATTATTTTCATCATTCTAGAAGGCACAGCTGAATCTAAGTTTTCTTCCTATGAGCGTTTATTGGGAACATCTTGGTAGATTGTTCTGGTGCCAGTAATTCAAACAGAATCAAGTCAGCAAATAATTTTAAATAACCAAAGTTGTAAAATTTGATATCTATAGTAAAGTTATTAAGTATATTTGACTATAATTTAAAAGCTAACAGCACACAAAACCATTTTAATGCATTTATCATTTTAAACTGTAATTACAAATTATTACATCCATAGTTGTATTAATGATAATTTGCTACTTAAATATTTTTAACAAAGTTTGGATATAAGTTTCTAAATTTCTATTTTAATATTGACTTTAATTTTTTTTTCCTTCACATTCTCACTTCTAGGCAATTATCTGCTAGTAAATTACCAACAAGGTAAATGCATACTCTGTGGGGCATGGAGTTAGGGGACATTCGGCCTCGCAGCTCGGATGCCTGTGTCCCACATCAGGGTGCCTGGTTCAGTTCTGGCTCTGATCCTGACCCCAGCTTCTGGAAGGCGGCAGTGATACCTCAAAAGAATGAATTCCTACCACCTACATAGGAGATCTGGATTGAGTTCCTGGCTTCAGGCACACATTTGAGGAATGAGTTAACAAAGGGGCTCTCTCCCTCTCTCTCTCTCCCTCTCCCCGTCTATCTATTTGTATTTCAAATAAATCAATAACACTAAAAAAAAGCAACATTGTGTTGGAATCAGCACTGTGATATAGTGGGTAAGACTACCCACCTTCGATGCTGGCATCCCATATGAGTGCTGGTTTGAGTCCTGTCTGCTCCACTTCTGATCCAGCTCCCTGCTAATGCACCTGAGAAGGCAGCCTCGGATGGCTGAGTACTTGAGCTCACCCTGGGAGACCAGGGTGAGGCTCTGGCTCCTTGCTTCAGCCTAGCCCTGCCCCTGGCTGATGCAGCCATTTGGGGAGTGAACCAGCAGATGGACGATCTCTCTGTCTCCATAACTCTGCCTTTCAAATAAAAACAAATTAATAAATAAATCTAATAAAAAGCAGCAACGCTTCAACTTTCCTATCAGAACTCTCTATTTTCTCAATTTACATTATCACTTGCATAAGGAGACACATCCTGCTATATTACAGATATAGAAAATGAAAATCCAAGACTTGAAACTGAACTTAGAATTAAATACTATTCTGCCAAGGGCCATTTATATTAACTGTGAGGTTTTTTTGTTTCAATAAAGACCATTCTATAGGAATTAATATGGAAAATGTGCTATAGTTCTTGACATCTTCATCAAATCACTGAGCCATCACTTTATATTTTAGATGGAAGGTGAATAAACAACATTTTTTCAACTGTAAGTCATCATTACTAGAATTGAAAATAGAGAATTTTAGTAAACCAATTCTAGAAAGTCACTACAAACATTATCTCAATTTACAGATATTTCTACAAGGAAATGGAAGGGCCACTATTCTAAAATGAAGCCACAACCTGCAGCAACATGCTTTCTACATAATTAGATGTAATAAATCTTTGCTGAAGTAAGTTAATCAACACTCAACCAAATAAAATCATTGAATGTCACATATTGTAGAGGAAAAATATTTAAATATGTGCAAATGTCCAAATTGCCTTTGAGTATTTTAGTGAGTACTTTTGCTTAATGTGGCTTGAAACTTATAAGACCGTCAACAAAGAAAAGTTTGGGGTATCAAAACATCACTAACACAGTGTGAATGCTAATAATAGCACCACAGGGTTTGATTACAGATGCTCAGCTCTCTGTTAAGTCTAGCCTTTTGTGAGTTTCTTCCTACTTATATGATCTTTAACAAACACTCCCCACAAAAGCCCTGTGAAATAGGTTTGTGATCTCCACTTTATAAATGAGGAAACTCAGAACCAAGGAAATCAAGTCACCTGCCAAGGTACTGCAGGAGGTAATTGTTTCGTTCCCAAGTCTGTTTTCAAACCTCCGTGCCCAACTCTGGATGACTATTTAAACAAATTCAAACGTATTCACTTCAGGTATTTGTAGGTAAGCCACTTGTTGGGAAATAATACTGGGCTCTCCACCTCCAAAATAATATTGCAACAGGTCAACTTTAGTGAAAACATTTACAGAAATCTGAAATTCCAATATAGCACATTTTGCCAAAAGTGTACATCGCAGAATGTTTAAAGGATGTTTTCTGACGTAATATTCCATGCACAGAGCATTCGTACAAAATAAAAATTAATTCACTGTAAGTTTTCCATGCCATACTATTGTTCCACAATTTTAAAATAAACTTCATGAAAGGATGTATCTTAATTATAAGAGCAATCAACAAAGCACAGAATCTTAAAGCTAGAAGATTCCTTAAAATCCATTTAACTTAATCATTTTAGACAGTAAACTGAAGTTCAGGAAAAGTAGCTTGTCTAAGTTTATACAATTAGAAAGAAGCAAATCATAATGCTTTTTTTTCCTTATAGTGAGATAAAAATATTTCCTATGCTCAATTACTTTCTTTGACAAGATCACGGAAAGAAAACTCTCACTTTTCATGGCAAACAACTGCTAAAAAGAACAGCAACTACTGTATCAAATTAACTTTTTATACTACCAAGGATGTGTAAATTTTTAACTGCATTCTCAGAAAGGAACAAAAACGAATTTTAAGCTTTATAAGAAAGAATGTAAGATTCCTAAAAACCACCGTAAAATCTCAATATAGATCATAAAGATTAAACAAATTGTACAGGCTCTGTTGTTATTGACTTAGTCAAAGTTTTCATCCTTATAGAACTCCCATTCTCTAGAAATTAATTTGTTTTTGGACACTTTTGGATTCTGTTTATCAAAATAAAGTATCCAAACAAACAAAAAAAAAGAATACTGATAACAGTGCAAACGACAACAGTTCTGTTAATGTAGAAACATCCACTGTGATATTTAAGAAGAAAATCAATCATAAGCAAAATCGGAAATCTGCCTTTTGGATCCATGATTGCTACTAAATGCCCTTAGTGACCATGCAATCCACATTCATTATGTGTGCCAATATTGAAGAACATACTGTACAGTTAGGAAAATTCCATCAGAAGTACGCAAGTCATCATTCCGAATGAAAAAGGAGCTACAAAAACCAACTCAAAACAAGGAGGCCTGAGGTCCTAAATCACTTTGGTCAAGCAACAGCTCAAAATAAGGAGACAGTTCTCTACTGGTCTAAGCATCAATGCCAAAATGAAGTGATGGCAGCTAAGTATCCAAAAAGAAACATACCTTCTGGAAGGTGGCGAGCTCGCGGTCATCACATTGTAATAATCCACATAGGAAAGGCATCTTCAAAAAAATCCCAACTACTGAACTGCTAAGTAACTCCAAAGGAAGAACCTTGAGGAACTTCCACCCAGGGGTGATTTGACGTCATACGGGCACTTTCCGTATCGTTTGCTGATAGATCCAGTAAAAACAATGCAGGATGAAGTTCAGCACTAGGAAGTACTCCAGCAACTGCGTGATGTCCTCAGTGGCTGACAGTAATTACACCTAGACAATAGAAATGAAGTCAGGTTAGCTTCCAAGTCAAGCTAGGCACTCACCTTCTAAAAGAAAGTGACTGTCGCATGGCTATACCTCATGTCTTTGATAGGAACATTCAGAACTTCATACATACTTAAATCACTTCTACCATGAGGGGCTTTCTCAATAACAGACATCACCACGCAAAATCATAATTTTAAGAAGTTACAATAAAAGGCCGAGTCTGTGTGTTCCCTTAAGAGCAGGGCATTCGGTTTGATGTTGCGTTGGTTCCGTCAAGGGTGACTAAGTCCAAGGGCATGGGGAAAGCCTCCAGCACTTGGAAGTACAAGAGAAAAGTACAGAAGCTGATAAATTACCTTGGTATTTGGACCAATCCCACAAAACATACCTGAAGATAATGACCTAAATCACGTAGACTCAAGAAGCTTATTCCACACATTCTTCATCTTTAAAATACCTCCCAACAGTCAGATCATGCATGTGCCCACTTTCCACAAACTCCCCTTCTCTGAGGTGTCTTTTCTATCAGCCAAGTGACAGGAAGGGGATAAACAACTTTTGTAGCAAAGTGGAAAGGCGCTGGAAGAAATTTTATGTGAAGTGATGTTTACTAGTTGCTGAGTGTTCTCATCTGAGCAAGAACCAACCTACAAAGGCAACCAAGTTAAGCCACTTAGAAAACAAAGTTGGGGAGTCCCCCTGCCTCCAGCCCCGAGAGGAGTCGCAAGGCCTCAGCAGTGCAGGGGCTCACAGCCATCCCTCTTTGGGGCGGGCGTGGCAGCTAGAAACAAAAGGTTAAAACACAAAAGGCGGGCGGAGGGCTAGGTCAGGGAGCGTCTGGGACCCGGTTCCCCTCTCCCAGTCAAACAGATTGAGATGGGAAAGGAATGTGCGAAGCAGAAGTGAGGGTGAGTGCTGGTGACTGCCTGGGTCATTCCGGGTGGGTCGTGAAACTGAAAGGGACCGACGACGATGGGATGGCGACTCTCAGGAGTGGTCCAGGCCCCATCCCCTCATCCCTGCATCTCTTGACAGTCTGGAACCTGTGGCTCCGTCCACTCTGCCCCAGCCCCAGAGGAAAACTTTCGGAACTCTTTTATCTGTTGGCTGCAACCCCCTGGACACAAACTCAAGAGCCCAACCCCTACCACCCAAACCCCTTCTACATTCTATTGTTGCAGCTTTTGGTATTGCGCATTGGAGCCACACAGCACAGTTAAGTTACAAAACCGTAAGGAAAAGACCTCCTGCTAAATACCTCTTTCTTTTGCATGACCCAAATCAAGGCTGGGGTGAGGGTGAGACTGGGCTCGTCCCCATCCATTCCGGCGTCTTCTCCCAGGACACACGCACAGCGGGGAGACGGCGAGGCAATGCCCCTTCTTGGGATACCCTCCTCCCCACCCCACTCCCAGCTCCTCAAATAAAGCCAGCTTGGCTTCTGCCTACAGAAAAATAAACAAAAAACTATCTGTGCAAGTTCTCTTAAGAACAAAAGAGCAGGGAATGGAGGGAGGAGGTCCAACTGACCAGGCAAAAACTTTGCCACCGGACTGTGCCTCTGCGCACTGCGGGGCGCGGAGCAGGGCGAGCGAACGCGGAGGGAGGCACCCGGCACCGCAATCCCCACTCACCTTCTCGCCCACTCCGGCGCACTTGGAAGAGACCCGATTCCCTCGTTGCCGCCCGCGAAGCGCTCGCACCCTTTCCTGCGGCCTGACAGCAGAGAAAGTGGCCGCGGCAAAGTTGCGAGCGGGAGAGACCCGGGCGTCCGGGGCGAGGGGAGGAGGGAGAGTTCATCAGAGTTCCCCCTTTTGTTCCGAGTCCCGGAGCAGACAAAGAGGCGGCGAGCGCGGCAGGTTTCTGCCTCTCACCCTTCTTCCTCTCTCCCTCCCCGCCCTCCCGCCCCCTCCCTCTCCCCGCATCTCCCGCCCGGCTCAGGAACCTCCGGGGCCAGCCTGGCCGCAGGGTCCCCAGTTCGCCGAAACTCTGCCCCGACCCGCCCTTCCCACTCCCTCACCCGCAACTTTCGCCGGCGGATGCCAGTCCTGGTCCCCTCCACACCCACCCACCCTTTGACCGTCCCCTCTTCCCAAGACGAGTCCATGGTGGGGAATCTCCAAAATCATTGTTTCCGGGAGATGCACCTCTTTGTTTGCACTCTCCCTGCCAATCAGTGTGAACAATCCACTTTGGCATCGAGTTTCCGTCAGTTTTCATCCTCCCGGGACACAAAATGCGAAGGGTCGGGGGTCAGCCCCAGCAGATAAAGGCGCTTACATAAACAGAGGTGGGGCGCACACGAGCGGAGCGTCTCCATCCCCAACCCTACAGTCGGATCCACCCTTCTGCACCCAACACACAGTAGCCACTCCAAGGGGGTTCCAAGTGTCAGTAAACTCGCCTCCCCGGCCCACCCCCACGGACACTGGCCCCAAGGTTCTGGGCAGGACAAAGGCCACTTCGGGTCCGGCGAGGGCCTCCAGCCACTCCTGATAGACTACCTGTTGCCGCAGGCGCTGCGCGTCACTGTCCAGGGGCTCCCAGAGGGCTGGGAACCACCACCACGTCTTCAGACCCCCAGCTCCCCGATCCCAAAGTGCACAGCTCACCAAGCTCAATCCGACTAAGGAGCCTAGCGTCTCTCCCCTCGCCCACTCCCCGACACCGTTTCCTCGTCCACGTCCCAAGGACCTGAGCAGGATCCCGGGCCGCCTCCCCATCCTCTATCCTCTGGCTCAGCAAGTTCCAGCATCCTCTCTACACCCCTCCCCCATTGCCTTGCCCCGGGCAAATCAGGTGTCCCGGACCTGCAGCAGCTCTGGACCCTTCCTCAGGTCCTTTTCCAATCGTCCTCGTCCTACAGAATTGGGGACCCATCCTGACCATCCCCTAGTCCCTCAACCCCTATCCCAGCTGCAGGCCACAGCGTGGGCTCGCTCGGTGGACTCAGGGCAGATCTCTAGAATCCTAGATCTCACTAGAAGTGAAGAAGACAACGGTGAGATGGGGGGAAACGATAAAGAATGGGGGCCCGCATGGGGAGGCAGTTTCAGGGCAAAGAAAAAGACATTCCAAACGAACTTGCACCCTCCAACTGGTACCCTGCCATTGCGCACCTTCGCCCCCACCTTCTTCCTCTATCCCGGACTTGGGGTCTGGGTGGGTTGGGGGCCCTAGGGACCGGATCAAAGGAAGCCTGGGGACTTGGGAGCCAGGCCAAGGCTTGGCTTAGGGGTGTAGAGGCAGGCCTGGGGGGGGGGGGTGCAGTTTAACGCGAAGGTCCCCTGCTGGATCCGGAATGTCGCAGCTGTAGGTCCCGGCTCTTGGCTGGCGACTCCTGGCCAGGTCTCCCCCGGAGCAGAACAAAGACGTCGCCAGCAGCGCCAGTGTCCTCGCCTCCCCGTGTCTGCACCCTACCCTGGGCCCCTCTCCCACCAGCCCACACCGCTCTCGGAAACTTTTGAAACCAACTTCCCCAGAGTTAGCGCGCGCGGTGCTGGGGACCCGAAGAACTGGAACAATCGCATCCCGGGACTAGGGATGCCGAACTCCCGGGTCCCCTCCCAGCCCGCGCGCGAGGCGACCCACTGTGTAAAGGCGGGCGGTGCACAAGCTTCGCCCGCCTCCCCGAAGGGACGCGTTTCTCCAGTTTGGAAGCGCGCGGGGCTGAGCGGAGGGGAAAGGTGGCAGAGACAGAGAAAGAAGCGGCCGCGGGAGAGGCGAGGGCGGCGGCTCGGGCAGCTGCGGGAAGCCGAGGGCGAGGAGGGGCACGAGTGTGAGCCGCGCCGCGCCCGTCGGGCCGAGTCTTTGCGCGCCCCGCTGGGCCCTGCCATCCCAGCGAGCGGCCCGAGGCCGCCGAGTCAGGACCCAGGACCCGCCCGCGGGCCTCCAGGAGCGGCAGCCTTCTCACCTGCGGGGCGCACGGGCACCTGCGCGGCCTTCTCGGGGAGCCCTGGCTCTCTTGGGCTGCCTGTCACCTAGTGGAAGCTCAGAAGCCTCATCCTAGGTTGAGGATCTTGGAAGGCACCCCAACCAACCACAAAGAGAAAGCAGCCGCCACCCACTCCTGTCTGGCACATTTTCCTCTTTGTTTAATTATGATGACTTCCAGAATTCTCTTTTTAGGAGAAGGCTGCCCTCCCCGAGACAAACTCTTCCGCTATCCTCAGGGATCTGCGTGGAAAATAATGAAAAGTCAGTGCTTCGAGATCATCTCATTCTCTTGCCGCCCCAAAAGACCAGTTTATAGGGCAGAGCAACCAAGACAGAGTTTCTAACTAGTAAGTACTCCTGGATCGCTGGCATGGGCTACTCATCAAATCTTATTAACACATTACTGATCATCTGAAATCATTTACTGTGTGTTTCTCTCTCTCTCTCTCTCTCTCTTTTTTTCTCAAGGGATGAAGAGATCATTTACTAAGTGGGAAAATAAAGTTAGTGTGACCTTAAGAAGGTTTTCTCCTTGCTTCCCACCTTAATGAAATACACCTGTCAGGACCCTTTCCCAGCCTGCTTGTGAACCAAGTGACTTCCTCCAAGAATCCTGGTGCTTACCTGACCAGGGCTCCCCCTTCTATACAAGAAGGCCCACTCTTGCACCAAGCTGTATAGGGACCTACTAACTGCTACCTTTCAAAATGATGCCATCTGTCTGAGTTGCCATCACACTAGCTAATGCTTTGTTAGTGGTCATTAACAACAGGGAGGTAAGGAGATGGATATGTCAGAGCAGGTGGCCTGTGGAATGCAGGTGCCCTGTGTACTGACAGTGTTGGATGGAGCTCCACCTGGATGTCTTGGGCTTCCTACCAGCAGGCTGATGGCATCTTCCTACAAGTTCCTCCCTTTTCTGCTTTGCTCCAGGCTGCCTTCTGGCTTCCACACCTCACTTTGCCTTGCACAGGGGTGACCAGCCCTTCAGTGTAGCCCACAGCCAGTCAAGGACCGGATTTTACATGCCAATCGTACAGCTTTCCCACTGGCACCTGGTAGACTCCAGTAGGCTGCATTCTCCCATCTCCCAGAGGTTTCCCAACTTTGAGCCCCAATCACCCACAGCAATGATCCACTCTTTAAGAGAACCCGTGGGGCTTGTGCTGTGGCACAATGGGTTAAAGCCCTGGACTGAAGCGCCGGCATCCCATATGGGCACCGGTTCTAGTCCCAGCTACTCCTCTTCCAATCCAGCTCTCTGCTATGGCCTGGGAAGGCGATGGAAGATGGCCCAAGTGCTTGGGTCCCTGCACCCATGTGGGAGACCCAGAAGAAGCTCCTGGCTCCTGGCTTTGGATCTGCATAGCTCTGGTCATTGAGGCCATCTGGGGAGTGAACCAGCGGATGGAAAACCTCTCTCTGTCTCAACCTCTCTCTGTAACTCTTTCAAATAAATAAATAAATAAAAACTTTGAAAAAAAAAAAAAAAGAAAAAAAATAAGAGAACCTGTGTTGGCTTCCTTCTCTCTTCCCTCTGACTCTTGCCTATCAGAGCTTTCTGGAACCACAATCCAAACAGACTACAGCACTGGCTCCTCTTGAATCCTGCCCTCAGAGTTAACTTCTAGGGGAATTCAACATAAGGCATTCTCCATGGAAAAATGAAATTAAAACAGAAGCTCATTTTGGTGCAAAAACTTTTTTGAAATCCATGCATAGTGTTTTTTATTTTAATAATAAGCATTTTCCATGAACTTTTTGAAGACCCCCACCTAAGAAGACCTAAAGAGAGGAATGCATTCTATTTAAAGAGTGAAAGCACAAGATAAATTTTCCCCTAGAAAATAGGCCAACAGTGGGGTAATGAGAAATGTTTTGAGTTATCTAGTTAATTTTCTATGCAGTAGTTTAAATTTAGATATCTCACAGAATGAAACATTGAAATTGTCATAAAATAGAATTGTATGTCATGTATGAAAGTTTTGTATATAGAATCAGATTAGAAACATAAGGAAGTCCCGTAAGTCTAATGTTGGCAGTGAGCTCTGCAGTAGGGAATATTATTATAATCACCTGTTTTGATATATCAGCTGAACCTCCAGTGCACCTAAAGGAGAATGGTGGGGTGACCACTTTGGACAGCCACGTCCCATGCTAGATGCCTGCGTTCAAGTCCTAGCTCTGCTTCCATTTCCAGCTTCCTGCCAATGTGTGCGCTGAGAGGTAAGTGATTAAGTGGGGTCCTGACACCTACATGGGAAACCTGGGCTGAGTTCTTGGCTCTGCCCTCAGCCCAGCCCACTGCTGGCATTTGCTCCCTCCCTCTTTAACTCTCTCCCTCTCAAATAAATCTCTCAAGGATTTATTTAGTTATTTAAAAGACAGACTGACACAGAGGTAGGAGGGAGAGACAGAGATCTTCCATCTGCTAGTTTACTCCCCAAATGGCCATAACAGCTAGAGATGGGCCAGGCTGAAACCAAGAGACAGGAACTTTATCCAGATTTCTCATATGGGTAGCAGCAGCCCAAACACTTGGGCCATCATCTGCCTTTCCAGGCAAATTATCAGAGAGCTGGGTAGAGAGTGGAGCAGCTGGGACTCAAACTGGCACTCTTATATGAGATGTGGGCATCCCAAGTGGGGATAATTATTTTTTGAAGATTTATTTATTTATTTATTTGAAATGCAAGAGGAACACAAGAGAGAGAAATAGAAAGAGGTTTTCCATCTACTGGTTCATTACCCAAATGTCCATGACAGTCAGAGCTGGGCTAGGATGAAGCTAGGAGCCTGGAACTCCATCTGGGTCTCCCACAGGTGGCAAGAACCCAAGTGGGATCATCCTCCATTGCCTTCCCAGCTGCATTAGCAGGAAGCTGCACTGGAAGTAGAACAGCCAGGACTGAACCAGAACTCCAATATGGGAGCCAGTGCTGGCTTAACTCACTG